AGGTCCCTAGTATAGTTCCTTATCCATTATTGTCTCTTACAACTTTAGCGGTTTTCATTTCCTTTGTAATTAATTTGATTTCGTAAAGGATTATAGATAGAGAACTTTCACCACAATTTATGTGTCGTAGTTTTAGCAAATATTTTCATGGTATCAAAGCACCTTCGGTTTAGCAACCCCGATCCTTTCTTCTCCATGGCTTTCAAATCTTATTCTCATCTTCTTTCTTTCAACACTCTAATCCATGTTGGGCTACGTTGATGGAACTCTGGTTTCACCACCTCGCTTTGAACCAAAAACCTCCTCGACACTCGGCACCAAATATTTGGCGTGGAAAGTAGCCGAACAACGACTAGTTTGTCTCCTACTCTCCTCTCTTATTGAGGAAACCATTGTTGTCGTCGGTGGTCTCTTTACTGCATGTGACGTTTAGCTTGTGTTGGAGACTACATTCAGCCATCATTCGAAAGCCCATGAACTGAGACTTAAGGATGACTTGCAGCTGATGAAACGCGACACCAAACATGTTGCTGAGTATGCCCGTACCTTCAAAAATAATATGTGACCAACTTCATGCGACAGACCCGTCGAGTACATTGATAAAGTGCACTAGTTCCTTTGTAGACTCGGCACCGAGTTTTTAACTTTTTCTACTGCTCAGATGACTCTCACACCTCTTCCCTATTTTGTAGTTTTAGTCTTTAAAGTTGAAAGTTTTGTGTTTTTAACGCTTCCTTGGGTCTTCTAACTCCACTCCTACAACATTCACAGCCACTAATCGTGGTTGCACCCATGGAAGTCACCCTGCTTCCTTTGGCAACTAGTGAGATCGTTCTCATTTCCACAACAACAACTTGTCCAACCGAGGACAAACCAACTCAATTCAGAGTTGGCAACCACCTTGCTACTAAATATGTTGCATGGAGGGCCATTAAGCTGACTGCTATAACCACCGATACGTTTCAAATGATTTTACTCATGCTGACCTTGCTGAAGCTTTCAACACGTCTAGTTCTATGACTGGAACCGAGAATACTCATTAATTTTTGGATACTAAGGCTTCGGCTCATATGATTGCCGATTCATCTATTTTGGATTAGACTAAAAATTACATGGGTAAGGACTCTGTGATCGTGGGAAATTGTGCGTCCCTACTCATTATCCAAATTGGTACTCTTCCTCTTATTCCAAATATTCACTTAATGTCTTTGTTATCCCTCGTCTCACTCAAAATCTTATTTCAATTAGTAAATTAATTATTCTCTCTCCATTGCATTTACTAATAATCTTCTTCCTATAAAAAAAGGAAGGGTGGTCGGGTAAATTCTACTTTTATTTCTATCCTTAAAAATAAATCTTTATATACTTCATATGATTTATGGCATGCACGTCTGGGTCAGGCAAATTATTGTGTTATTTCTTTTTTAAATAAAAAAGAATTCTTTTTCTTACGTCTTTATTGTCTTCTTCATTACTATGTAGTATCTATCAACTTGTAAAAAAGTCATCGATTTTCTTATTCCAACAATAAACATAGATAGTCTCATGTGTTAGATCTTATTCAAGGGATCCTTCTCACATCAAATCCAATTCGAATTTTCTTACTATTTACTATGTTATTTTTATTCATGATTGCTCATGATTCACTTGGGTTTACCCTTTAAAATTTAAATATGATTTTTTTTTTTATAATTTCATAAATTTGTGAAAAACAAACATTTTGCTTGTATTAAGATTTTTCAAAGCGATGGAGGTGTCGAATTTCCTAGCACTTGCTTCGAAGCTCACTTACGAATCCATCATCAACTCTCTTAGCCATGTACATCTGCTCAACATGGTTGTGCTGAGAGAAAACATCGTCCTATGACTGAGAGTGACTTATATCATCAATCGGTTGCCTACTCCACTTCTTGGAGGTAAGTCACCCTTTGAGTTCCTTTACAGCTACTCTATGCATTATGACAATTTTCATCCTTTTTGTTGTCATGTTTATCCCTACTTGCGTGCTTATATGCCGAACAAACTCTCTCTCCGAGCATATCTTGCATTTTCTTGGGTTATAGTCCCTCTCATAAAGTGTTTTGCAGTCTTGATCCCACTACCACTAGGCTATACATTACCCGCCGCACTCAATTTGATGAAAATCACTTTCTTACTGTCCCTAGCTCTCAGGCTCAACCTCTTTCTTATCTTCATATTTCAAATTTCTTGGAACCGCATCTTTAGCATATTGATTCATCCCCCTACTATTTCTTCACCCCACATTCTTCGATTCAGCTCCTCTCCGTGTGATATTTGTTCTGACCTTGTAGGTTGATACTTCTCTTGCAGGTTCCTTTTTATCACTCTCGACTTCAAATCCGCCCTCTATTTAACCTGCGACTGATTTCTCTTCTTCTTTGGGCTCTCATCCTATGATCACAGGAGCCAAAACTAGTATTTTCAAGACTTGCCATCCAGCAAATCTTTACGTTTTGGGCTCATCTAAACTTTTTTATGCTCTTCTTGCATCTACTGAGCCAAGATGATTCAAATCTGTTGCAAAGAATCCTGCTTGACTTAATGCCATGGATGAAAAAATTCAAGCTTTACAACAAAATGACACTTGAATTTTGATTCCGTGCCTTGCCAACACCAATGTTGTGGGTCCTAAATGGGCATTTCACATTAAATATTTTCCTGATAGATATGTCGAGCATTTTAAGGCTCGTTTTGTAGCCAAAGATTATATTCGGTTCCTGGTCTCGACTACTAAGACACTTTCAGCCTGGTTGTCAAAATTACTACTGTCCGTGTTGTGTTTTATCTTGTTGTCACAAATAAATGGTCTCTTCAGCAACTTGATGTCAAAAATATTTTCTTCCATGGAACTCTTATTGAACATGTTCATATAGAACAACTTTCTGGGTCTTGGATTTCTCACTCATGTCAGTCTATTACAGAAAGCTCTCTATGGCTTAAAGTAAGCTCCTTGCGCTCGATTTTAGCGTTTCAACTCATTCTTCTCATAATTGGTTTTTCTTTCCGTCGTGCTGACACGTCTCTTTTTTTCTTTCATCAACAATCTAACCTTATCTATTTGCTTCTTTATGTTGATGAAATTATTGTTACTGACAACAACCCATATATTTTTTATAGCTTTACTCGCAAGATTCATTATGAGTTTGCTACTAAGGATTTGGGCTCTCTTAGTTACTTTCTTGGTCTTGAAGCTTCACCCACTCCAGATGGTCTCTTTATTAGTCAGTTAAAATATACTTGAGATACTTTTACTTGTGCTCAGTTGCTCGATAGCAAACCAATCCACACCTCCATGGTTGTTTCTCAACACCTAAGTGTTGATGGATCTAGGTTTGGCATATAGAGGTACCAACCTCTCCTTGGGCTGAGATCTGGATTCAACCTATAACTAGTGGTCCTTGGTAATCTTCTATGTCCCCTGTGGCATAGTCAGGCGATTATGAAGTACCAAAGGAGATTGACATCTAGCCGTCTTCATGTCATTGTAGGCTTAGGACTTGATTGCGCATTCTTGAATGTCATCCTTATGATCCTTGAACCTAGAGTAGTATTTTAAGTTCATGAGGTTTTAGGTGTTGACACTAAGGGTTCTTCTAAAACTTAAAGTATAACTAGAGCATGAGTCATGTTACAACATTCTTAAGCCTTAACATTTCATGTGTTAGGTCTTTTGTCATCATCATATTTCTTGGACTTCATAGATTCTCACGAGGGTATTCTTAGATCATGACTAAGGTAATATACTCTATTGTGCTAACCACAGACTTATTTTGATTTTTTAGTTCTTGTATCATGAGCCATGACGTGTAGTCAACATGATAGCTATTCCCATCATGTCCTATAACTAATCCCGTGAAGACCTAAAGGTCACTTGATCGATGATCAACATGAAAAAGATATCCTGCAAGAAATGTGGTTGAGACATCCTAACATTGGATAGGATAAGCATGCAAAATATGGGGTATGGTAAACCTGCAATATCAAGAAGTCTTGTAAAAACATGGTGCAAGGCATCCCATCTAGGTGAGGGAATCATGAAACATTGTTAAAGTTGGCTTAGGACATCCTACCTAGATGAGGAAAATATGAACATCACGCTAAAGCTGGCACAGGACTTCCTATGTAGATGAGAAAACACATGGATATCATGATACACCTCATGGTGGAAGGTAAAGAGTCACCTTATACCTAGCATTCTTGGAGGTCATCATAATTTTAGGGCATGGTGTGTAATGTTCTTGACTAGTTCATGTCAAATACCTTGAAAAAGTCATTTGGAGGCTGTTTGGACCATGAAACATCGTAAGAAAATTGTAGGGGCATTTTGGTCATTTTATCATTAATTCTTGGTTTAGTTTGTTCATGTACTCCAATGACTTTGAAACTTTTAATAACATCTTATATCCTTGAAAATAGGCCTTAGGCAAGTTATTTGGTCCATAAATTAACACACTTCATGTATGTATGGTAGGGATATTTTAGTCATTTTGCACTTATGATTGGGTTATGTCGACTACCAATTTTAATTTAAAAAAAGATTTTGTTTTAAAATCAAACCCTTCCCTAAGTTTGTTGGGAGTTGAGGAGTAGGGAAGTAAGTGGAAAATGAAATAGATATTTGTGTTTAATTAACCCAACGGTTAGGGTGTTGACAGAAAAGGCTTCTATAATGCACACTTAAATTCCATTATTGCTTTGATATTTAAGTGCAAAGTTGATAGGAAAGCACAGCAAGACAATGCGTCAACGGTCAACAACCCAAAAAGCCGTGACCCCACGCCCCACCACCACTCTTCTCAATATAATATAAGAATTTCACTATAATTTTCATAAAAAAAAAAAGAAATCTAAATTACTTTGTCCAACGAATAATATATGATTTATTATTCTACCCTAAAATTGAAGTTAAAAATTGAAGTAATTTGAGTTTTAAAATTGAAACAAATGGACCAAATAATTATTGAACCCAAGAGATCAACCCATCTTTCTTCTTGTTTGTTTATTACAGTTCATTTCAGCACTGAGTTGTTCCTCCTTTTCTTCCACCAATTTCGCCTCCATTACCCTAAGCCAACCCTCTTCTCTCTCCTTTTACTTTCTTCTTTCTTCTTTCTTCTTTCTTCTTTCCCACTTTCCTCTCCTCCATGTCTGAATTCTCTCAACCTCCCAACCTCCCACCGCTCAACATGCCTTCCTTTGTCCTCTTTCTCTTCTTCTTCTTCTTCTTCTTCCCTTCTTCCATGGCTGCTCCTTATCCCTTCAGTAAGCTCCATTTCACTGCTTTTACTCTCTCTTTCACCTTCTTCTCCAACTTCCACTGACTCTGATTTACTTTCCCCTTTTTTGGTTTCAGGCATTTCTTACCATATTGACTGCGGTGGTCTAATCAACTCCACCGACCCATTTGGCACTACTTGGCTCTCCGACCGATTCTACACCGGCGGCACCACCGGAATAGTCTCTGAGCCCCTCATTTTCCATCACCCACAAGAGAAGAATCTCAGATTCTTCCCTCTTTCCTCCGGCAAGAAGAATTGCTACATTATACCCAATTTGCCCTCTGGCCGATACTACTTCCGCACATTCACCGTCTATGACAATTACGATGGAAGGTCTCACCCTCCTTCCTTTGATGCCTCCATTGAAGGCACTCTCGTCTTCAGTTGGCGTTCTCCTTGGAACGAGAACCTCGCCCGCCATGGCGCCTACTCCGATCTCTTCGCCTTCATTACCGATGGTGAGGCTGATTTTTGCTTCTACAGCCTTTCTACCGATTCGCCGGTGATTGGGTCTTTTCAGCTCGTTCAGGTCGATCCCTTGTCATATAACTCAACAACCATTGGAGAGAATTTCATTCTTGTTAACTACGGAAGGATTACTTGCGGTTCTGAGCAATGGGGCCCTGGGTTTAGCAATGATACCGACGTTTTCGGTCGCTCCTGGCAGTCTGATTCGGACTTCATAATCCCCACTCTGAAACAATCGGTTAAAGTTTTGTCGACTACAAATTCCGTAAGTGGGACCGATCAGCAGCCCAATTATTTTCCGATGAAATTGTATCAGAAGGCGGTCACTGGGGGAAGAGGGGTTCTTGAGTATGAATTGGGGGTGGACGCCAAATTGGACTACTTGATTTGGTTGCATTTTGCAGAGATTGATTCGAGTGTGAAGAAGGCCGGGCAGAGAGTGTTCGATGTGTTTATAAATGGCAATAATGCGACGAGGATCGATATCTTTGCAAAAGTGGGAAGTTTTGGAGCTTATTCATGGTCTTATACTGTGAAGAATTTGAGTAGCTTGACTTTGACTGTGAAGCTTGTGGGGGTGGTTGGCTCGCCGCTACTCAGTGGGCTTGAGAATTACGCTTTGGTTCCCAGAGATCTTTCCACCGCGGCGGAGCAAGGTATGTGCGTTTTATATCATCATTGGCTTGAATTTCGAGCTATTGCTCTCTGTTGTAATAAACTTGAATTTGGGCATGATGCATTTCGATTGTAAAGTACGTAGAATGGAACTTGAATATGTTAACAATTTTAGAGGCACCTTTATTTTTGGATGATTGCAGTGTCTGCAATGAGAGCATTGAAAGAATCACTCCGTGTGCCCGGCAGAATGGGTTGGAATGGCGATCCTTGTGCTCCTACAAACTGGGATGCCTGGGAGGGAATAACATGTCGACCCAACAAGAACGCGACTGCCCTTGTTATATTTCAAATGTAAGCATCATAAAATATCTCTTCCTTTCTTAGCAAGAGAGATTTACCTGTTTAAATCATTTGCCATTTCAGTGATCTTGGAAGTCAAGGTTTGAAAGGGTATATCAGTGACAAAATTATTCTTTTGACAAACTTAGTAAGCCTGTAAGTATCGTCTTAAAATTCTACTTTTCTATAACTGTCGGTCTAAATGCTGTCAGTTGTGACATCTACTAGCTCGTTCTCATCTCACTTGGTCTTTACTGTCAAATCTGAAGAATCAGTTCTTGCATATAAAATTTGACCTTCTCATGGCTCTTCAGAATCATAATAGTTTTTGTTTTGCTTTGTTGTTTTCGTCAAATGAACAGAAATCTTAGTTCTAACTCACTGGGGGGCACGATACCACCTGGGCTCGGTGAAAATTCTCTTACCCGACTGTAAGTATGATTGTTTTGTTTTACTTGTTCAGTTGCAGTCATTTATCTATGCTTGAAAAATTAAAAAAAAGAAAAACTTGTCTGAAGTTAATGAAAAATTTTGTTTGTTGAGGTTCGAATCTGTATTCCTACAAATGGGTAACGTAGGAAAAAGGGAAGAAGAAAAAGGAAATAATCTTATCCAAAGTGAACGAAAAGTTTTGTTTGTTGTTAAAAAAGAAACCTTATATATTGTTCAATTCACATGGTTTGGAACCATCATTTTCAAATTTCTCTTTAGTCTTACATGTATGAAAAGTATCGTGTTCTACAAATACATACCTGTGAAGTTATAGTTTTATTTTAACGAAATGATTTGGTGTTCATAAATAGCAGCATCTTTCAGTGATTATTTATGCTAAAATGTATCTGACTTTTGTAGGGATTTGTCAAATAATGAGTTAACAGGATCTATTCCAGATAGTTTAGCATCTCCAAATCTGCAGCTCGTGTGAGTATTCTGCTCACCCTCTTTCCAATACCTTTTCTTAACTTTTTTGGAAAAAGTGTTCTGAAATCAATCTTCTTATTTTACTACGTGGTTTTAATACGCAGTATAAAAGCTTTAATTTTAGTTTTAAATTTTAATTTCTGTGTGTTCTTAGTTTGGGTCATCACCTTTTGTCTCTTCTATCTTATCAGGCTACTGAACGACAACTTACTGGATGGACGAGTTCCTGAAGAAATATATTCAATTGGTGTGCATGGTGGAGCCATCGAGTATGTAAACTTCAATTTATATACTTTGAACTGCTCATTCTATCTGTCACCACTCGATTTTTCACGAGATGCGGCTTCTTAAAAACTTATAAACATGAAAAGACACGTAAAAATAGATGGTAAAATTTTTCGCATTTAAGATAAAACATAAATACATTTTATTTACAAATTCAAGTTAAAGTTTGAATACATAGGACCCTGTAATAAAACAACTTAAAAATATTTAAGTAGTTGAAAATGGTGTACTTCTGTATCACACCTACTCCAGATCCGCGTCCATCCTTGACTAGCTCCTTCTTTTTTCACCTGAGAATCATAAGAGAACTTGAATTAGTACAAAGACTTAGTAAGTGGCTTATGACTCTTAATCGTATTCTTGCTATGATAAGGTACTACACTACTTAACTTGTTATGGTTCTTGTTGCAAGTACTTAGGCCCTTAGGTTCTATTCTTGAGTTATGAGTTCTTGTCATGATCTAACCTGAGGACCTTGGTTCTAAGGTTTCAACCTTGATTCTGATTTAAAGACCTTAGTACTAAGGTTCTGGGTTATTCTCTTCAGAACTTGGATCAAATCCAAGTTCTAGTTCTTGACCATTGTTTTGTTTTTGGTTATGCTTACGATACAAGTCACAAACCTGACAACTTGTGTCTGAGGCTTAATACGTTCCAAGCGACACAGTTTTAACCTACGTCCAAAGCTTCATGCATTTCGAGCAACGTAGACTGAACCTGCATCCAGGACTTCATGCATTCCTTGCGATACGGCCTAAAAACCTATGCCCAAGGCTTCATACGTTCCAAGCGACATAGTCTAAATACTTGTGCTCAAGGCTTCTTATGTTCCAAGGAGTGTAGTTTGAAAATCTACATCCAATGCTTCTTGCATTTCAAGCGATGTCGCCTGAGTCATGAGCATGCTATACCGTGGAAGGTCTAGGAGTTTCATGAGTTTCTGAGTCTGGGGACCTTAGTCCATTATTCTTGAGTGGTACCTAGCATTTTTCTTATCTCTATAGATGTAGGCTTGTGATGGTATTTCTCTTAGTTCTAGTTATTAAAGCATTCTATAAATTCCAAGGCTTCATGAGTTTTGAGTGACGTAGTTTGAATCCGCATCGAGGTTCTTAATTTCTTGAGGCATAGGTCACATAACATACATTCTTAAGCTCTACTTAATTCTCTTGAATCATGAACCCATCACGGTAACATGCACGAAATCATTGAAAATATCATGAAGTTATTCTGTGTTCTTTAGAAAATTCTAGAAAAGTCTTGGATCTTAGGTAAGGGTCATTTACTTCCATTGTGGGTAATGTATTTGGATTCAAAGCTCTGCGTGCTCTACGTCTGGAGGATTTGCGAATCCCTACTGCTTATATTAAAACTTTCCAAGGCTTGCCTCATGGTATCCAAGTTGACAGAGATAAATTGAACAAGTATGGTCGCCCTCTATTGGGATGTACTATTAAACCAAAATTAGGATTATCCACTAAGAATTATGGTAGAGTTGTTTATGAATGTCTACGCGGTGGGCTTGATTTTACCAAAGATGATGAAAACGTGAATTCCCAACCATTTATGCGTTGGAGAGACCGTTTCCTATTTTGTGCGGAAGCCATTTATAAATCACAGGCTGAAACAGGTGAAATCAAGGGACATTACTTGAATGCTACTACGGGTACATGCAAAGAAATGATGAAAAGGGCTATATTTTCTCGAGAATCCTTGCCTTTACTTATGCCCTAACTTAGTTTAGGTTTCCAATTTGCTTAACTTTGAGATCTTGAATATATTTTTATGTCCATACAAATAGGCATTACCCAAAAGTAACAAGTCATTTGGAGGATGTTTAGACCTTGAGATGTCTTAAAGAGTCCTATGGGCATTTTCGTCATTTTACCCTCTAATCTTTGATTTAGACTCTAAACGTCTTCCAGTGACCTTATGTCATAGGGGCATTTTGGTCATTTGCGCCACTTATCTTTCAAGGACCACTAAATTTCATGTATTCCCTCAACCTGTCAGGTTATTATTAGATTTAAAATTTCATGGACAGATGAGTTTGTTTAGTTGGTTATTTTGACCTTACTTGAATCTCGAGTAATTCTTCGATTCAGTGCCTTAATTCATGGTTATGGTCGTTTTTCTTTTTTATTCCTTTCATTCATACTTGGTTTAAGGTATATATTAAAATCCAAATGATTACTTACCTTGGTATTGACGTTTAGGTCCTTGGTTCTCAAGCTTCTGGTATTCAAATTGCTTCAATTTTTTTTATTAGATTCATCTTTTGAGTCTAGTTTTAAGAACTATAAAGAAAGTGAGAACCAGAGGGTTGATCAAAAAGTGTAGAAACGTCAACATAGCTACCTTTGACTTTTATTGGTCAAAGTTTGACCTTTTACTAAGGGACTTGCCTTCACTATTTTTCTCATCATATACCTCTCATTTTTCCCTTGTACAACTCTATATAGATCTTAAATTGACTCGATTTCTTCACAAAACGTTTAAATGAAGTTTTAAAGAAGTAGAGACCAATTTCATACCGTTTCATGATATGTAGCTTGAGTTATAACCTTCAAAAGTTCGCTAGAAAAACATGTTCTTTGTCGGAATAAATCCAATTTTTTTTTATTGGCTAGGGTGTTCTAGACCTTACCAGGCCCCAATCCTTCATGAAACTTGTTGGAAATCTCATATGAAATGTGTAGGAGTTGGTAGGAGGAAAAATAATTAACCATAGCTCTCGAATTTAAAAAAGAACGAGGAAGAAAACCCTATAATCTAAAAGCTTCAAAACTTGTTCTCATCACTCAATTCTTGTCTTAAAACATTGCCCAAAATTTCTTATTTATAGGTTAAGCTTGCATCATTAATTTTTCCATAATCGTGCTTAATTCTCTTTTTATTTTGAACTTTTCTGGAATACTCGTTGGAAATATCTACTCCGATAAGGGTGCTGCCGACATTGATTTTGAATTTCAACCTCTAGATCTAAAGAACTTAGAGTCTTCTTGAACATATTCAAATTTCAGCTCAATCCAACAGTTGGATGTGAAGATACGGATGATTTTAACGATTCTAGAACCAAATCTGCTTGTAGATTTTCTTAGGTGGCATTTTCATGAGGAACTTTTGGGCATTATTGTAATTTGTCACTTTTTATTATTTTTCTGAAGAATCCAAACTTTTTCTAAAAATCCTTTACTGTGTTTGTTGGTCATTTCCTCCTTCTTAAGCACCTTGAAATTCTTCCCCGAGTTCCTTGAAATTTGGAAAAATGATATATATATATATATATATTTGTCCTTTATGCTTCCATTTTCCTTTCTAATCTTTTTTGAAAGGCTTTAAAACCTTATATCTTATATTTATTTGTTATGACATTGAAATTACTTGCTCAGGGCCCTCGTTCTTGCTTGAATCCCTTGAGAGATGCTTCGTCTCGACCAAGTATGTACACCCTTCGAGCTTTTAAGACAAGTATACCTTAGGATTCTAAGTGTTTATCTAACTTGTTACTGTACAAGCTAAGACTCAAGATAACTTTAAGAACCCTCAGGGACAAAAGGGACAAGTAGTAACCCTAAAAGCTCATGATACCAAGTGGAAAGAACTAAGGTTATAGACCCTCAAAAGAACTGCCTCAAGAAAGAAGAAGAAAAAAAAAAAAAAAAATCCTTACAAGGACTAAGGGTAGTTACCAGGTTAAGGAAATCTTGTAACACTAAGGAAGAAGGGTTTAAGCCCCTAATAACCCACTGACAAGCCTTATATAAGAAGGAACTAGAGAAATCTTTCCGATACAACTTGGAGGAACAAGATTGAATCATGTCAAGGCATGTTGTGTATAAGGAAAGAAGATAAGTCTTAAGATATAAGCAAAGGCAAGGAAGCTGATCATATGAACCAAAGGCGTTGAGAAGACAATCAAGAGAAACAAATGCCAAAATAAGTACTTGACCTCAAGATATAAGTTAAGGACTAAGGCCACAAGGACAATTATAAAGATAAGTCGGAGAAGGACAAAGCCGGAAAAGGACCCTCAAGCAACATGGAAGGATATGATTAAGAATAAGTACCTCCAAAGACGAGTTAAAAGTAATGAACTTTTGGGACTGAAAGTTCTAAAGAGGGGAAGAATTTGTAATACCCGAAGTAAGGTTAAAATAACTCAGTTAAGTACTGCCCTAACCAAATTTCAATTCCCTAACCAAGTAATTTCAATGTCGTAATAAATGACTAATGAGATTTAAGGCTTTTGGAAAAAGATCTTAAAGAAAAAAAAGTAAGCATAAAGGGCAAAAAAGTCATTTTTAATTTTAAAGAAACTTCTCAGATTTTTAATTCTTTATTCAAAAGGAATTTCAAGGTGGTTAAGAAGGAAAAAATGACCGTAATAAAGGATTTTTAGAAAAAGTTTGGATTTTTCAGAAAAAATAATAAAAAATATCAAATTACAAAAATGTCCCTAAAGTTCCTCTTAATTACGAAAATGCCACCGAAGAACATTTGGGAAAAAAATTGGTTCTGGAGTCGTCTTCCTGTACAAAATTGTTTGTATCTTCACATCCAACCCTTAGATGGAACTGAATTTTGAATGTATTCAAAGAAACTCGAAGTTATTCAGATCCAACTGTTGAAATTCAAGATCAATGTTGGCAGAACTAGTAGATATTTACGACAAGTATTCCAAAAAAGTTTAAAACAACAATAGAAAATTCATTCTGGAATAATTAATGACAGTGGAAGTTTCATCTAAAAATAAGAAATTGTAGGCAATGTTTTAAGACAAGAATTAGAGAATTCGTAAAACTTTGAAGCTTTTAGTTTATGGGTTTTTGTTTCTCTGGTTTCTTCTACATTCGAGAGCTATGGTTAATCATTTTCCCTCTTACACATTCCATATGAGATTTCCAACCAGTTGCATGAAGGAATCAAGACTTGATAAGGTCTAGAACTTCCCGACCAATAAAAAGTTTTCTAGGTTTATTATGGCGAAGAACATGTTTTCCGGCGAACAATATGAAATTGGTCTCTACTCGTTTGAAACTCATCTAAATGTTTGCTCAGAAATTGAGTTAATTCAGGGTTCTGTATAGACGGTAGGGCAAAATGAGAGATATATGATAAAAAAAAAATAGTTATTTTCCAGCCAGGAAGAAGATGAAGTCTAGAGTCAAAGGTCAAACATGGACCAATACAAAACCAAGGTAGCCCTGGCCTTTCTACACATTTTGATCAATTTGGACCCCACCTGTTATCATGAATTTTTTTAGGTTCTTAAAACTAGACTCAAAGATGGATCTAATGAAAAAAAAATTTAGATTAATTTGGATACCAGAAGATTGAGAACTGAAGACCCAAATGTCAACATCGAGATAAGTAGCTACGTTGGACTTTTCTGAAGAATCATTTGGATTTTAATATGGACCTTCAACCAAGTATGAATGAAAGGGCGAATTGCTCGGGATTCAAGTAAGGTCAAAATAACCAACTAGACGAACTCCCTCGACTTTTAATATATCTCAAAGTCTAAATATTCAAATGACCTACTTTTGGTAACGCCTATTTCTAATGACATAAATTTATATTCCAGATTTGAACCCATTATGACTTCATGATATTTTCAATGACTCATGCATGTTATCGGGTTCCTAATTCATAAGAAATAAGTAGAACTTAATGTATGACCTATGCCTCAAGAAATTAAGAACCTTGAAAATTTATAAAATGTTTTAAGAACAAGAACGAAGGGAAATACCAACCTGGGAAATAACATATGCTTCAAGAAATTAAGAACCCTAGAAATTTATAGAATGCTTTAAGAATGAGAATCAAGAAAAATACCAATACAAGCCCTACATCTACTAAGCAGAATACTAGATACGGATAATGGACCAAGGTCCTCGCAGTCAAAAACTCAAGAAACCCCTGCACTTTACATGGTATAACATTAGTTGGAAGGCAAGAAATCTTGGAGGTAGGTTTTCAAACTAGGTGCTTAGAACTTAAGAAGCTTTGAGGGTAGGTATTTAGATTATGCCACTTGGAACGTATGAAGCCTTGGACATAGGTTTTCCAACCATATCGCAAGGAATGCATGAAACCATGGATGCGGGTTCTGACGACGTCGTTCGAAACACATGAAGCCTTGGACGTAGGTTAAGACTGTGTCGCTTGGAACATATTAAGCCTCAGACACAGGTTGTCAAGTTCATGACTTGTATCGTAAATCCTAGGGGGAGTGTCTTAGGGAACAAAACAAGAACCAAACAAAAACATAACAACTCATGGGTTTTTCATGGACAGTACTGGGCAACACGGGTATGCCAGTATTACACTCCAACCCATGTGTCGGAGGTTGGATTATGCACCCACTATCAGTAAATGACATAACATGGGCACGGGAGGGCCAATGACTCGATTGAACTTGGATTGATGGATGTTCAGGATGTCCCAAGATTATGAACGATACATGGGCTCGTTCTCGATGGCTGACGGCACCCTGTGACTTGGAATGACATCAAAACATGAAGACCATGTTAATTGGGAACCAAAATGATGTAAGATGTGACGTTGCACATGAGAGACCTTGGCTTCGAGTAAAGGCAAGGTCGAGTCGAATAACTTGGCCTAGTGTAAAGGCAAGTCGGTTGTGTCGCATATGGTTGAACATGCACGTGCCGGCAACGTGTGTGTCCGAACAAGCTTGGATTTTGCATGAGCGATGTTCAGATGGTGTAAACAAATCTTGCCTAAGGTCCGACAAAGCTACAAAGTCGAGCGAAAAATATATACAGGGCTTAGGTTCCCCTCAAGATTGGTCGTGAGCATGTCAAGATCACGACGCCGCACGGTTGAAAAAGTACGACCGTGTACTCAAAATGTTTGAATAGAGATTACATTGCTACATTGAAGGAGGTTTTCCAGAATCCATCTTTTTGTGGTAGGGCCAGGTGCTAATCTGCTTATATAGGTTGCTAATCTAACCCGTCATGAACAACTTGGAAACTTGGGGTGGTGTAAGCAAGGAGGAAAAGAAATTGGGCATCTCTCTTTCCAACTCTATGCCCCCAGAAATAGTAACTCCATTAAGACCGAGTTTTTCCTTCAACCATATAACTCCTGATTTCTGTACCTTCTTTTACTCGGTTCATTTATGTACCCTCTTTTGCTCGGACTTCACAAAAACCCCACTCCCTATCCCTAGAAAGACCACAGACACCCATAAGATCTCCCGACCAGATTGAGTATTCTAACTACAGAATTGAATGAATGAGATTGATAGGTCCGTGTAATGAAGGTGCCTCCAAGTTGATAGAGCATTTGGAATCGTTGTTTTCTCAGAGACCAAAAGTCCCTAACATGCTTCCAGTTGAAATTTCCCTTTTAGATTACAGAACTCATGGATTTGACATCTGATAATTTTTAGATAAAGAAATCTGCATAAAAAATAAAATAAAAATGTTAGAACAGAGTAATCAAGATGAATGTGTCATCCTTTCAAACAAGAACTAAGCTTTCTTTTGGAATTGTTAATTACAATCCATCGCTTGAATCAACATCTCTTTTAGCTTTCACTTGGTGAAAATTTTATCCTCCTCCTTGTAATTATAGTTTTATCTTCCCTCGTTTTGTAATTAAAGTTTACTTTTAGATTTTGGTAAAAGAAAAACGGAAGGTAGAGGATAAAAGAAAATAAAACGAAGAAATGAATAATAATAATAAAAGAAATTAAAGTTTAATGATAAAATAACTTACCAAACATCAAATGCCTTAAATGCAATAGGACAAAAAACACAAACGCACAAGCACAAGCACACAATATATATTATACATTTTTTTTTTTAAAACAATCAAAGGTGACCCTAACTTCCTTTGTTTCCTTTGACCCCAACTTCTTTATTTTAAAACAATCAACATTAATTTTGTGTGCTGTGTTTTGTTTTTTTCCTTCAGTCTGTCTGGTAACAAGGGTTTATGCGGTGTGCCTTCCCTACCAACATGCCCTATATTCTGGGAAAATGGGCGGTTGTCTAAAAATGGTAAAATTGCAATAGGTGTATCATCCACCTTCCTTTTCTGTGCACTGCTGGCAGTGATCTACATATGCTGCATCAGAAGACGTCGAAATGATTATGATTTTGGGTTGCCTAGTGAATTAATTTGTAAGTATCATGTTCAAACACCTTTGATTTTCTCTCTTCTTTTTTATTTACCCCCACCCTCAACTAATCTAACATTTTGCATGAAACAAGCCATTCTTATTTAGATTTATAGTTTCCTTATGCTGTTTCTTCATCTTACTTTATTGTTTTTCTTCAAATGTTACCAAACAGAAACTGAATCGAACAGTTATGTTTGGAGATGCTGATATATGATGATGATAGTTTGGATGGTTGGTTTGAACTAAAGAAAACTTATAAAGGGCGACATCTTGGCCTAGTATTAGTTGGCTGGGATGAGCTGTGAAGGCAACCTTAATCCATCTTTGGTTCTCCCCAAAAAGGACTCTATTCGAGAAGTTTCTTGACTCGTTTTAGGTCGCCACAAACAAGGGATATTTCCATTCTAGGAAGCACAAATGCTTTATCCCAACATGGACACATTGTCTTGGAGAAAGTGTTCTTGTTAGACACATGGTAGACATGGATGTGTTCGAACATGCTTTGGGCACATGTTCCCAAATAGAAGAAGTCATGCAAAGAGAGTGTTGGGATATGGAGCCTTATGTTAAAAGATCTGGTACCATATATATGGTAGATATTTGGTAGGTGGTTAAATCTGTTAAAACTATATTTAGTAATAAAAAAAACTATATATATATATTAGTGCTCTCAAGATGTACTTTTCTTAGTTATCTGTGTATGGGAAGTTTTCAATAAACTTTTAGCCAATGTTCCTCCTTGTTCTCTCTCTTGTTCTTTGTACTCTTCTTGATCGAGGGTGTGTGTTGTTGAGCGATCCTAACAAAGAGAGGAATCAAGGATTCAAAAATAGAAAAACTTAGCAAACATGAACCCCAACGTGTTCATATCCTACTTAATCAAACACTAATGTGTTGCCTTATCTATGTCATGTCGTCTTAAACCAGTTGAATGAATATTATCTTACCCCCTTAGAAAAGCAAGCCTTTTTCACAAGGAAAGACCTTCTGAACCTTTTGAACCATTGAACTTCAAAAGGACTATTGGATTATTTCCTAGATGACGACCTAAATAATTAAAGGGAAAGGACCCAATCTCACAATCTGCTATGGAAGCCCATCTTTCAATCTCATCATCCCATCAATTAGTACCCCATAGAGCTCTTATCCTTGTTAATATTCAAACACAAAATGATCTCAAACGTTGAAAGGATTGAATTAAGATTCACTATATAATCCTTCCTCGAATAAAAGATCATGCCTGAAATTTAGTTGTCAAAGTTGGTGAGTCCTAAAGATTGTCATGTGAGAAATTGTGGATGAATCTTCTGATGTAGGACAAAAAGTGGTGAACAATAAAGCTCTACTAGACATGCCAATCTAAAGGAGGCTCAATGATATTTGTTCAACGAGGGCCACTATGATTGAGTTTTATCATACAAGTAGAGCAAGCCTTAGAAAGAAAGATGGGATGACTTGGATATCAAACAAGTTTGAAAGTTGACAAGGAATAAGGATAAGATAGGCAAGAAAGTACATTTGGATATCAATGAGGTGGTGCGCTCTAGTAGACAATATCATACTATTATAGAGGTATATTGTCTTTAACAACGTCTAACAATGCATGAAAAATGTTTTTCCTTAAATTGTGACCTCACAAGAAGTATGTACTTGCGTTTCATGCATCCAATTTGTATGCTGCTGTCTAGCCTCTATATTCGTAATCTGATTATCTAATCCCGGACTGCGACTTTTTTTGTTTATGGTTATGATTTCTTGCTAAGAACTGTGTTTTAGTTTTAGTTTTTTTTCTTTTACACAAGGGTTCATTTTGGTTGAATTGTGTGCTAACACATGCAATTCTCCAGCTCTTGCTGCCAAAAGGAACAGGTATCAGAGGCAGAAATCCTTAATGCTCCTGGAAATGGAGAGTCAACACGCCAAGGGATTATCACCTTTCAGTCCTCTCAACTGAGTTATGCCGCAAAAAACAGGAAACAGAGAGACTTTTGAAACTGCAACCGACCTTTATAATGCTAACTAACTTAAACACGACCGCACAGGATGCCTGAACAGAATACAATCATCGGCTTTGGTGCTGAAATGAGACACAGAATAATGTGGAGAATTTGTAAGCAAGCATTGTATCAGAGAGAGCAATTACATCTTTGATGAATTGAACAGTAAGAAGTTTGGTATGTAGCATTTGATATATGATTGGTGTCCATTTGGAAAGCACAGATCATTATTCTATCTAATGGGATGTCTCCATAACATAACATGTAAGTTCTGTACCAAAAATGTATATACACTATTTTTGGTGGATAGCAGTCAGTTTTCTCATGAACTGGCTTGTTGTAAGTTATTGAATTTCCACGAATCTGTTTTTCCACCATTCAATTCATTTCATTGTCTCCGGGGATATTATTTAAATTAGTTGATATACGGGAGGATTGTATAACAATGCAATCACTCGATCCAGATGAACACAAAGAAGAAGAGAAAATGTAATGAATATTATTGGGTAAGAGTTTATATCGATATGATTTCAAGTATCTCGAGTGAAAGAATATTGAAAAGGCAGGAAAGTACATATATATGGATTCAGTTTAAGGTATATAACCACCTGCTATGTATCATATATTTTTATCATTTTCCATGTATAGTTTTACTATTTATGGTAACTAACTACTAGTTTATTATATATCATTTTCTATGGATAGTTTTATTACTAACAATTGAATAAGTTATAAATTAGCATCAAGCTCCAACCCAACAATTTTTATGAGGCGGTCTAACCCATTCCTATGATCTTCGGAGGATCCAAATAAGCATTAAATGTGCTGTTGAAGACAAAGAGGGTGGAATTAAGGTAAAGAAAGATGGCAAATTTAGTACAAGAACTAAGAACTGAATCTATTTGAGATGAAAATGGAAACTAAAATCTCATTCTTGAACAAAGGATTGATGTTTTTTGTAATAGTCAAAAGATGTCAGAATCACAGTGGCTGCAATACTTGTGTGTTTGTGGATTGCTGAGAAGATAAGATGCCCAACTCTTTTACATTTGAATATAATATATATATAGTAATTTATTGGCGTGACAAAATTGAAATTATTATTTAGTGAAGTTTATTAGAAAGATGGCCCAGCCTTCTGCTGCAACTTGTGTGTCATCATGCTCTGCCTTCATTCATATTTGAAGGTTTCCCATTACCCTCTGTCTGTCTCCAACCTGTTGATTCCTCACCCACTCCTTTATTATAAAGCTTATTATTGTTAACACAAACACCATTTGGTTTGGATTTGGGATTGAAAAACCAAATCAAAGCCCAAAACAACAAACAAACTGTGTATGAAAAGTCAGTGAGAGAGAATGTAAGCAATGTGATTGGATGGGTGAGGGAGTTGAAAATTCTCCAATCCAATTTTTTCAAACACAACTTTTTAAAAAAGGAAAAAGAAAAGTTATAAGCTTTTGCATGAGTTTATATGGTTTGTAAATGCCCACATCTGATGTTTACAAAAGGCGAGGAATTGGTCAGTGTGAAGTTTGCTGTTAAAAACAATTTTTTTTAAAAAAAAAAAGAAAAAAAAAGTGTGTTTTTTATTTACTTTTGAGGCCAAACCCATCTGTCCATGCAACCCTACCAGTTGACTTCACTCCACACTTCATTTCATTCCATTCCTTGTGTTTTTCAACTAAACCTTTGCTTACCATTACTAACCATTCTTGCCTAACTTCCTCAAAAACTCACCACGTAACTATCTTTTGGGTATTATTGGAACGGCAAGTTGGTTACCTAAAACAAAAGGAGTTTACATTCACTTCTAGACTAACGCTAACGCGCATTCGATTCGTAGTTGGAACATTGAATATATCATATTTATATTTTGATGGTATTGATAGAATATTTGTTGAACATTAAATATTATATTATTATTTGGTTAACACGTTTTCAGGTTTATTTTTGTTTTTTTTTTTTTTAGCTTTTGAGTGTTCACATGTAACAAGTTGGATTCAAGATTATAAATTGAGTTAAGAGATCTTTTTTTAAAAAAAAAAAAATAATAAAAATAAAGTTTGTGATGAAATTTCAAACTCACATGTTTGTTGGAATGGAAAAGGCCATAAATGTCTTCAAGCACACCACCCAAATATTTGACTTTATCTAACATTACCAATTATTTCCATCATAACCCAAATACCTTTTGTTTACCCATTTTATGCAAATAATATTATGATGCCTTTAATTTGTGGTTAAATATAATCCATCTCTTGTGGGTTTTGTTGACCTTTTAAGAAGACCTGGTGGGAATTTATTATTCTTTTTTCTTTTCTCTACAATAAAAATAAATTTGGGAAATCAATGGTATTTGCAAGTGGGCAGCCATTGGTACGCCAAGTGGCCACCTTTTATTTGACTTCGGTGTAATCAGTTAAATTTTACTCAACTTGGCCTATTTCTAATTCTTTCTTCCCTTTTTTTTTTTTTTTTTTAATAATATTAATATTATTATTATTATTATTATTATTATTTAATTAAACTATTATATAAAATTAACACCGTCAGCATTCCAAGAGATTCGCAAAGGGAGGAATCAAATGTGAGAGTTGTCGTAACTAAGCATCTGTGGGCACCGTAGAATTACTTAAAATCTGTGTCGTGAGATTTAAGGAATGGCGGGGCCCACTTGACGACTATTGGTGGTCAACCATCATTAGTCAATGAATTTTTGTACACACTTGTGTGGTCCATGCTCTACCTTATCCTTTTCCCCTTTACTATGTTGTTTCCTTTTAACTTTTTTTTCCCTTCTCTTTTTGCTCCCTAACCCAAACTTAATTATTTATATTAATTGCACTTCAATTTTAATGAATTTCAGTTTCAATATATTAAAATTACACTTAATTTGTACAATTTTATTTAATAATAATGAATTTTAATTATTCTACTAAAAAATATTACATGTTATCATGTTAGTTCTTTTCAAAAGAATAGAGCAACTACATATCCGTAAGTACTTGTCATGTCAATTATGCTCTTTTTATTTCAATTATATTCCGTAAAAGAAATTTGAAAAGTCCACAAATTTATTTTAGAAAGATTTTTATTTTGTTTGGGCTCGTTTAACATTGACTTGGACCAAGGATGAATCCGTTCAAAGCGTCCTATTTTTGTCTGGAAAATTGGTGAGAAGTTAGGATTTATATATATATATTATGTGAATTAATCAGCAAGTTTTAAAGGAGCAGAGGTTTAAGTATGAAAATTGAAAGGGTAAACTTGAAGGACCGTAAAATAGAAATTTATTTTATAGTTGAAGCAATAATAATATTATTGGTAGTGGGATGTAATAAAAAAGCAATTTGATCACGTGTGATTTGAGGCCGAATGATTCATTATTTTTGTTGAATTTATTTAAATTGGTGGCCAAGTGGAACTATCTATCTTCTTCAACCACCCTGTGATATGATTCTATTCAAACACATTTTCTTTTAATTTACTTTTGAGTTTGTTAATTCAATTTCATTACAAGGTTTAAGGTCTAACATTTACTTGAAAACAAAACAATATATATAGTGAAATGATTGAGTTTTTATTTCAAAAAGGGAAGGGGATGAAGCATATCCACAAGCCAATACCATTCATTTTAGGAATTAAAATTTGGTTATAAAAGGCATGCCCAAATAGAAATACATTTCATTCCTTTTTTTTTTTTTTTTTTTTTTTTGCTTTTGATAAATTCCGATTCTATCTAGGATGTTGGTTTGCCGCCTATTATAGAAGAAGAAGAACCGCCAGAAGTTGCTGTTTTAGGCAACGAACCATTGATGCCTGAAAATTTCGTAGTAGGTGGGAATGGTCTGAGGATTGAGGAATTACCGGACGCTTCTTCTGTTTCTGCTTCAGCTTGTGCTACGGGAGATCGTCCTTTCCACGACANAAAAAAAAAAAAGTTTTCAGATGCAATCTTGTGTTTTTTTCTTTTAATTTTTTCAGAAAATAATTATTTTATTAAAAAATATATAATTACAGTTTGAAATTTTGTGAGAAATATGAAATTTGTAATGAAATAATAGAATAAGTTTAAAAATATTTAAAAAGTGAGAAATATGAAATTTGTAATTGGTGGGAGATGAGGTGGCAGTTGTGGGAGAGGACAAACGATGAGGTGTCGGAGCAATCTGAATTGATATAAAAAAAAAAAAAAATGTCAAATCCAAGCACACTTGCCTGAGAGTGCCGACATCTTCCCCTTCTCATTATTTACATTAATATATCTCTTTTTTTTTTTTTTTTTTTAATATTATTAAAGAAAATATACTGTTCTTTTTTCTTTATATATATATATATATATAAAAAGGTAATGTGAAAATGAGCCTTCAGTATCTAAAATAGAGATAGTGGTAGAGATTTGATGAATACATGTGTGGGGGCATCAAAACAGATAAGCCATAACAATTTAAATTTTATCGGTATCCTTTTTGATTGCCTAAATCATAACTTCTAACTACATTTTTAGAATCCATACTTACTTTTTAAGTTTTTTTTTTTTTTTTTTTTTTTTTTATTTTTTTTTTTTTTATTTTGTTGNATCTTTTAGTGTGCTTGTTGATATGCTTGGAAGATTGATCAAAATTTTGAAGTCATGTACGCTTCCGTGTGTGTTTTTATGTTGGGTTCAAAATCTTCGAAACTTCAAAAATACTTTGAAAAATAAGGATTTTCAAGTCGAAATTTTTTATCTTCAACGAGTTCCCTAAACTTGGAAAGAAATTTCAAATAGCGTAGCGATTATTATTTACTATGTTTTGTAAAAATTTATATGTTCCATGATTTGACCAAATTAAGTTTAATTACTTGGCCAAATAATCGTAATGAGAATATGTGGCCGTTTTTGAAATCAAAGAATTTAATTGTAAAAGAAAAAAAAAGGGGGGGTGGGAATTGTAGGGTTTAGGGAGAAACCACGCGGGTTGAAATTTAAAAATAAGTAGGGAGAGGAAAAGTCAATTGGAATCTGACACCGACTGGGCCCCACCAAAAACTACTATTTTCCCACCTCTCCCCATTTTGCCCCTCTCAGACACACACACACACACACTCCCCACTCCCCACTCCCCACTCTGAGTTAACCCTTACGCCATGTCTTTTCTGCTTCTAAAAATATTTTGTTTGATAAGGGGCATCCGTTTCGAGTAGTAGTTGGGAGGGTTCATAAATTTTGGTTGGTATTCTATTTGAATGACTCGATGCTGTGTTAACGCAAATTGATGTATGGAAGAGAGGAATCAAAATTATGGGTCTCCCATATCTCCATTTTTAACCCCATTGCTTTGTATTCGAGGTCCACACAAAGGTACGGGCAAAGAGGGAGTTGGGGGGATGAACTTGTAAAACTCACACAAATGCCCTAATTCATTTCAGGTCCACACTCATGTGATGTTCACATAAAACTGGGCCCCTACTTAATCTCTCTCTCTTCAACTTGCCCCCACATACCCATAATATCATACATCTCCCACACCTATTATATTTGGATTCCATCCCTCCCCCTTTCTTATTTTATCATTTCATTATTTATTCATTCAAAATCAAATAAATAATAAGCCCCCCCTCTTTATTCTTTTCCTATATATACATATATATATATATATATTCCACCCCCACCCTGTTACCCTCAATTTCCATTTATTTCTCCCTTCAATTCAATCCCAACTAATTCAAACTCAGATGGACACAACGAGCTCTTTAGACGACAGCACCGCCAGCGACTCCACCTCCGTTTCTCCCGTCACCCCATTACTCTTCCACTCCTCCTCCTCCTCCTCCCCCCCCGGAGTACCCTACGACGCCGAATCCCGGAAGCTTCCATCTTCCCGTTTCAAAGGAGTCGTCCCTCAGCCCAACGGCCGATGGGGGGCTCAGATTTACGAGAAGCACCAAAGGGTCTGGTTGGGCACATTCAACCAGGAACACCAGGCCGCCAAAGCCTACGACATCGCCGCCCTTCGCTACCGCGGCCGCGACGCCGTCACCAATTTCAAGCCCGGCGCCTTCTCTTCCGTCGACGCCGCCTTTGAGGCTGACTTTCTCAACTCCCACTCCAAGCTCGAGATCGTCGACATGCTCCGCAAACACACCTACAATGACGAGCTCCAGCAAAGCAAGCGATACGGTGGAGGAACGACGACGACGGCGACGGCGACGGCGGCGGCGCACTCTCTCCACAACGCGGCGTCGGAGTCGGACCGGGAGGTGCTGTTTGAGAAAACCGTGACGCCGAGCGACGTGGGGAAGTTGAACCGGCTGGTGATTCCGAAGCAGCACGCGGAGAAGAATTTTCCATTGGGGGAAGGGATGGGTTCGGCCAAAGGAGTACTCCTGAATTTCGAGGATATGGGAGGGAAGCTGTGGCGGTTCCGGTACTCGTATTGGAACAGCAGCCAGAGCTATGTGTTGACCAAGGGGTGGAGCCGGTTCGTAAAAGAGAAAACCCTCAGAGCCGGGGACGTGGTCCGTTTCCTACGCTCGACCGGCCCGGATAAGAAGCTTTACATCGATGGCAAAGCAGGCGGAGTGAAGCCGGTTCAAGTGGTAAGGCTATTTGGAGTGAATATTTTGGAAGTGCCGGTGGGGTGGTGTGGGAAGAGAGACAGAGAAGGCCTGTCGGAATTAGAAAGGACGAAGAAGCAAAGAATGATCAAAGCATTGTAACACGTAATTAATTACATTTTCTTTTTTCCTCATTAATTAAAATTGTAATTTTTGAAGAACAAGAACAACAAGTGTTCAAACGTTGGAAGCTATGTTAATTATTTTTTTTTTATTATTATTTTTTATAAAAATATATGTATTTTTGAGAAAGCAAAGCAATTATTCAATAAAAAAGATTATAAAATGTTTTGAGAATAAGAACGAAAAGAAAAGAGGGAGGGTATTAAAAGTATAATCATCGTAAAAGGAGAAATTATTCAATAAAGAATATAGTGTTGTTTTTCACTTTTCTTCATTAGATATACATCAAAATTTATTCCTCAATTCATAACAAAACTAAATACTCCACCTCTCTTCTACATGCTTATTAAAATAATATCATACAAATAAAATGTTGTATAACACATATCCTAACATAAAAGACTACAACATAAATGGGAAAAATATAACTATTGTGATTTGATTCCACGATGGCCTAATGTCAACGTCAAAAAAGATATTAAATATGGTTTGAGTATTTAAAAAACCTAGTGGATGACCTAACCGTTGAGGTCAAAAAATGCAATTAGACGCCACATGGTTTGAATACATTGTACTTCTCTACACATAATTCATACATGCACACTTGAGCTCACTAGATAGACTTGTATACGTACCCTCTAGACTTTATATAACATGTATGAGATTTGCACATTTTTAAATCATGGTACATGAATATGATCCAAATCATAGTTCCATACTTTTCATGACATAACCTTCCCATAATACATACATATGTGTGCATCACATATCATTCATTCTTATCATACATGATTCATTCAATATCTCATAGGGCATAACATGAATATAGTATCATAACATATTTGAGTAGGGAAAGAAGTCAGTCTTCAGCATTCATATGCTTTTGATACAGAAAGTTATCATCGCAATAAGTTTATAAACATAACCCAAAAAAAAAAAAAAAAAAAAAAAAAAAAAAAAAAAAAAAAAAAAAAAAAAAAAAAAAA